GTTTTATTAATAGCGCGATTAGAAATCTAATACAAAAATTTATACTTCACAGACGATATTCTTAAGTACTATATTAAATATGTAATAATTATATGAAGGTACATAAACATTAGTTTCATATATATGAAACGTGCAACTTGATAAAAAAAAAATTCATATGCATCGACCTGACGCGATAGAATTTCGTCGAATATCGCTTACCTCGCTGTACATATTTTCTAAGCCCTCGAGCTGTTTTCTAATGGTCCTCGCGTCGTTCGTGCTCAAATCTGAATCGCTCCTGTCCAACATGGAGTCCAGATCGAGACCGGTGGTGGTCGACGTGAGATCGGCAGCCTCGACGCCGAAAACTAAATGAATATAGTAAGTAGAGTTGTTTTTTCTGCCTCGGGCTGGGAGAGCCAGTAAAAATGAATGACAGGGGTGAACCACTTACGATGAGAGAACTTCTTCGCGGCTTCCTTCTTGGAACTCGACGGGCCGCGATGCTTCGAACTGCCGGAGAACCCTCTCTTGTCCATCGCCTTCCCGTAATCGGTGTAATTTGGTTTCGATCCGTACGGTAAGCTAAAACGGCGAGAAACATGCAAGCGTGTTAAGAGTCTGTAGAGATCATGCGAAATCAGATCAATTAATTATACATTTTACAATTACTATAAAAATTATTGCATTGAATTATTATGGGATACGTTCTGTCAGATAGTCTACTGAAAATTATATCAATCATTAGATGAATCATTGTATCAATCATTGTAATATTATTGGAAATGTAATATCAATTAGTATTGATATCAGATATTGTGTCAATCATTGTACGGATCATTGCTCGTATCGACGTTGCATTATTCCAATTTACACGAAATATTGTACCAAATATCGTATCAATCATTATGTGAAACGTCTTCGAACGATCCGGCATCGGGTCACGAGTTAAACGAGATGGATCTCTGTTTTAAGCGAGAGCCGACGAGCTGTGTTAAGCGTTACCTAGCCGAGTATCGATTTCTCGGTGTTCTGGGACTCTCGTGGGGCGAAAGCGGCGGTAGGGGCGGCGTGACCGACGACACGCTCTCCGAGAGGGTGGAATGCGCCATCGCTGGCACGTCTCTCGGCTCCAGGATACTTCTCAGCTCCGTCTCCACTATGTCAACCCATTCTGAATCTTGCACTGCGAAAACAATTCACAGAACATTTGAAGAAGTCATCAATCAAATTTATTACCAATATTCTTAACTTAGACATTTTCATTTATTTCTAGCAAGGTTCAATTGATAAAGGAAATTTCGATCGGTCATTGAATTTAAAAAATTGACATCTTAGATATATGAAAGTCTATATTGATGAGAAATATTGGAATGGAGACAACTAACCTGGGGGGTGAGTCTGGTCCTCCGGCGGTGGCCGCCTCCCGCTAGAATATACAGCAGAACCTCTGCCAGAGTCGACGTTGGATGAACTCTGACCAGTTTTGTCATAGTCCGAACCCGAACCTTGGTTTTGAATTTTTAATCGACTCATCCCGTGCTCCAATTCGTCTTTCCTCGCATCAGATTTAATCCCATCCTTCGTGTACTGACCCTCCACTCTCTTCGAACCGTCCCCTAACATATTTCAATGTATTTACTATGATTTTACATTAACCATTCTCTCATATATTTATACATA